CTTACTTTACAGCATTTTTTCACACCTGCCTAAAACTTTTGCACAGTACTGTATATATATTATATACGATAACCTTTGTACAGGATACTTTGCTGTTTTAATATTCAGTAGACAACAACAAAATTGTTATAGGAGCACCCTGGATATTCTGGCTGCCTGCGTATTTTTTATGATTTATTGGAAATCACTAGAAAGTTTGGATAACAGCCTCTGTTTAGTTTGTGTTCTATACTGGAAGAGGTAATTCATCCAGAGAAATCAGAAATAACGCTAAGACAAAAGGGAATGTAACTTCATTGATTACAAGCCTCCACAAATAACTAAATTAAGAAGAGATATTTGCATAAATCCACTGACTAGATTCATCGAACATTTCCTATGAAATAGCAGACTTATATAACATTTTTATAAATTTAAATTGCATACTTTTTTGTGCATTAATAAAACAAACAAATATTTAAGACTGCATCTTGTCTATACATATGCATAAGAATCCCTGACTTAGACAATATAAATCATTAGGAAATGAAATATTATGATGCGCTTTCACTCAGTCCTGATTCTCAGAGATTAAAGTACAAGTAATCCTTGCATAATGGCCGTTCAAAGTTACGACGGTGCTAAAGTGACTTATGACAGGGGCCCAAAGTTACGACCATCACAGCACCCCCGCGTTCACGTGATTGCAATCCAGCTGCTTGGCAACCAGTTTGCACTTATTATGGTTGTAGTGTCCCAGGGTCACATGATTGCAGTTTGTGACTTTCCCAGCCGGCTTCTGGCAAGCAAAATCAATGGGAAACTGCATGGTTCACTTAACAGCCATGTGATTCACTTAACGACTGTGGTGATTTGCTTAACAGCCACCGCAAAAAGGTCATAAAATTGGGTCCGGTCACGTGATTCGCTTAATGACTGCATCGCTTAGCGACCTAAATTCCAGCACCAATTGTGGTCACTAAGCAAGGACTACCTGTAGCTAAATAAAGGGTCATGTGAGCCCCACAGGAATTTTCCACCTACATCTTTATGTGATCCACCAGATGGATGTAGTGGTTGCAGAAACACAGAACAAGTTTATTGATAACTACATTTTCTGAATTCAAGTAAATATTTTTCAGTTCAAGAATGAAATATGTCTTTAATCTTTATTCCAGAAAAAATGTATGTCCAAAAGTAATGCTCTTGGTAGAATTCTAAAGATAAGACAGATGTGGTATTTCTTATTAAAATAGGCATTCCTGCCAGTTTACTAAATCCCAGTTAAAACCTATACCTCTGCATGGAAGTGGAAAATGTTCTGTGCGTGGACCACTCTATAAAGCTTCTTCAGCTGGAACTTGTAGCAATAACACGATCTGGGTTTTGAGCTGGCCAGACTATAATCCACCTGTAATGGTTTAACCAAACTTCCGAGCCACATTGTGTCCTGTAAATATTTGCATACACTTTCTGTTTCCATACATCTCTATTCCTTTGCCAATTTGTTAAAATTTTAAGAATCTCTTTAAACTGATTTGTTGTATCTCCTAACAAACATTTATACCCAAGAAGGCCCAGACAGCAAGATACTCTAGAGGACTCATGTAACTTTATGTAGAACAGACTGTTTGTTTACTATTTTAGTTTGTTCTTAAAAAGAATGCTTCTGGAGTAGTCCCACAGCGTTCTCAGTGGGCCTCCCATTCCCTCTCTAAATTAATCTCTCAAATACTAAAGAAAATCTAGAAAAACATTACAGGATGATTTCTGGACTATATATGAGGAAAGTCTCATTAAACCTACCAGTGAAGCTGAAAGAAAACTTAGTGATTAGTTCCTCCCATATGTTAACATCTAATGACAATTGGGCAGGATAGAAAAAAAATGTTACAGCTGTTACATTTTTGATACCTAAACAACCTTGATATATAAGCCTACTCTTTTTCTGGGAGACAAATGTAAATTTGAGAATTCTTCCATAGATTACGGAAAACTATGGCCTTGCAAAAGATGCAAATGGACAATGAGAATTTAGTTCATGAGATAAAAAAGGTTTCTGTACAAATCTAAACCATTTACACAGTTACCTGTGGTTTATTCAGTTCAATGGTTATATCCTGAAGATTTACATCCAGATCTAGTTTTGGTGCTGAAAAGTCAACATCAGATCGTGGATTCATACGGAGTTTGGCTTTAGCTGAAATTGGACGGAATACTAAAAAGCAGAATTTTAGAGTAAGTTAATCAAAAATGTGGAGCTGCACCAAGAAAATGGTAAGTTTAATCCCACATAAAAGTACTCTTGTGCCAATCACTACCTTATAATGAAACCTATAGGTTTCTACTGTTTGTTTCTTCAGACCTATACATATATAGAGCTTTCAAGGTAATAAACAGCACTTTGCATTTTACCCAGAAGTAAATCAGCAGTCAGTGTAACATTTTAGCACGGACATAATACTGTCTCTGTGTTCCCTGAGAAACTAACTTACCACAATAGTCTGTATTAAGTGAAGTTTCTGGGCTGGATAAAAAGACAGCCCCAAGAAGAAACTATCTATGTTTACTCCACATGTAAGGTTGTTAGCAAATATTAAAAACTCACCAAAACTGTAGCCTTCTGGGATCCCATTAGTGCTTGCAACTCCATATTTTAAATTATTCTTTTTGGGAAAAAAATGAAATGAAAATTCATTCACAATACTAATTCAGAACGCAAAATGAAATATGATCCAGAGAGAATATTCCCAAGCAATACTCTAGACGGATCAACATTCAGTTAAAATAAAGAGATCCAAGACTGTACCTTGCACAATAATTCTATCTGCAGAATCGTGCAGAACAGGTTCCTGGTTCAAAAATGTGGGAATGTGTATTATAATAATACAGTGAAATGTAAATGGTAGGCCACATAGAATGGTAAATCATACTGGATGAAAGCCTAAATGAGAAGTAGAAAATAGGATACACTAATTTGATCTCTGATCCCTATTCAATAAAATAATGTCTGACTGAAAAAAACATCATGAGGAAAACAATGATTTTTCCCCCTTTTGGCCTTACTTAATAAAGCAGAATTAAAAAAAAGAAAAAAGCATTATGATCATATAGTATTACACTGTAATTGTCCAAACTGAAACTATGTCTGTAAGCAATTCCTTAATAAATCCCAAGTAACATCAGGTCTTCGATCCAAAAGGTCTAATTGTAGTCTTTGGTCAGAAAATATACACACTTGATCGTTGACATGGGCATAATATTAATGAGCATTTTATATACTGCTTGGGTTCTCTGCAATGGCACGTCCCAGGATATGACAAGATTCTAAAATATTTCTCTTCCTAAGGTTTTTGGTTGAGAGACTGAAAGTTTCCAAGAAAACTGAGGAAAACTACCATACATACTAATGAATAAACCGAGAATTTTAGGTACAAAAATACACCCCAAAAAATTGGGTTTGGCTTATCCACAGATGTGCTTATCTGCGAGTATATATGGTAATACTTTCTTTAAAGTACCTGTATATCCTGTATATACTCTCAGATAAACTGATCCATCCTCAAATTTTTAACCAAAATACCATGAAAAATGGATAATCTGTGGATTACCCATGGATAAGCCAACTGTGAAAATTAAAATTTGAAAATTTCAAGGGTTGGCTTATCTGTGGGTGGTATATTTTTCATGGTATTTTGGTTAAAGATGTGAGGGCTGGCTTATATGTGGATGGGCTTATTCGCAGGTACCGGTAGTCCTCAGGTTGTGATAGCAATTGGGAGCAGAGTTTCCGTCAGTAAGCTACGCAGTTATAAAGTACTATGTTGTAATGTTGCCATTGTAACCCCAGGACCAAGCAGGAAGATGTGGGAGTCCCAGGCAAGCAGGCTGGTGGGCAAGAGCTGGGGGTAACAGCTACAAGTGTGGGGGAGGTAGATCCCATGGGCAGGTGCTAGGGAGCGCAGGCAGGGAGGTGGGTCCCATGGGGGGGTGCCACAGGCATGGAGGGTGGGTGCCATGGGTGGGCAGCAGGGGTGGTGGTGGAGGGGGCAGTGAGTGTAAACACAGGCCAGACCAATTTTTGATCACATGACCACGGAACTGCTGGAGGGAACTTCAAGGACCAGTTTTAAGTCAATTTTTTCAGCCATGTTATAACTTTAAATGGTCACTGAACAAATGGACATAATCTGAAGACTACCTGTATATGGATTCCAAATCTAAGTTCCAAAGTTTTAATCATTTAAAGATTTTTTTCCCCTGTTTAAAATGTAATTTTTTCCATCTTTTTGCTCTTGCATTTTTCATTTAGAATCTCTAAGAAACATTATTTTACAATTTGGAGCAGGCTAGCCTTAGAAATTACTTGAAGTCCCTTTACTAAACTAGAGTTATAATCTAAGGTAAACACTTTGATTTTGACCAAGGTTGTTTTATTTCATTTGCTTATTCTCACAATTTAGCTTTATAATTTTAAACTGGTTTTATTTTATATTATTTAATTGTTTTATTTTAGGACCATTTATTTTAGGATCACTTTAGGACCATTTTACAATGAAACTGAGTTGTTAATCAATAAATGTGTACTTTGTTGCTAGACAGCTGTACAAATATTTCCCACACAAAACTCTGATTATTTATTTTCTTGATTTAATATCTATATTAATCTTCACCATAATACCTATTCCCAGGATCAGCTGAGAAGAGAGAAATAAGACATAGATTTACTGAGTTCATTAGTACCTTTTTTTTTTTTTTTGGTGTCTTTGAGTCAGTTTGTGACTGCCGGGACTAGTTAGGTACGATGCCAGCTGGGTGACCTTGGGCCAGTCACTCTCTCTCAGCCCTGGGAAGGAGGCAATTGCAAACAACTTCCAAAAAACCTTGCCAAGAAGACTGCCGGGACTAGTCTGGGACTGGTTTGCCATTGCCTCCTTCCCAAGGCTGAGAGAGAGTGACTGGCCCAAGGTCACCCAGCTGGCATCGTACTTAAGGCAGGACTAGAATTCACAGTCTCCTACTTTCTAGCCTAATGCCTTACCCACTACACCAAACTGGCTCTCTCAGTAGTACCTACTGACAAATTAACTAGCACAAGACTGTGGCCTTAATGCTATTCAAGTAATATATTTTAAACTACAAAATCTAAAAACTATACAATCGCATAAAAAATATATAAATGAACTGTAATCTATTCTGGGCAAACCATACTTCATATAATTTATTAGCTTTGTCTACTCACCAAACATTCTTTAAAGTCACCCTGATAAAACATTTCAGACTTCACATTCCAGTATGCAAAGAAGTTGTCCAATCGAACTAGCTGGAAAAAACAATTAAGTAGAATTTACTGAATACCATATTTAAGGTTATCATGATCCAATATCTTATATGTATGCATGTTTATGAAAATTATTACAAATGCTAAATATTGATATTAAATTAAACACATGTAAATGGAGCAACTGAAATTAAATAAAGAATAAAGTTCAGGATGCTACAGAAGGATTAAGTATGAGGCATATTTTTCTCACAATACTTCATCATATTGCATTTTTAGCTTTTATTAATATATTGAAATAGGATAATGCGTGAAAAATTATCTAACACATATTAGCTCTCAGTTATGAACTATGACCACCACAACAAAAAGGATGCCTCTCCCTCATATTTATTTTTAAATATATTTTTATTATAGATTATGGTGAGATTAACAAACAAAAACAAGAACAGTGGTAACACAATTAAAAATAATCAGAATTGTGATTTAAAAGATCTCAAAAAGAAAAAAGAAATAGTCCATAAAAGGTCTGATGCCTGGCAGGAAGGGCGGTTTTGTTTTTATCTCTGTTTTTATTGATTGCTGTGAGCTAGCTGCCTAGGATCATTACACAAGAAGGGTGGCCATATAGGTTCTGTGTGTGTGTGTGTGTGTGTGTGTGTGTGTGTGTATAAATAGTATTAATATGCAACAAGCTCAGTTCTTTAACACATGATTAAATTTAGACAATCTTATTTTTACATTTTAGCTCTGAACTGGTGGGTTCACACTGGAAGCAAAGGAAGAGTAAGCTGGCACAGTTCCCCCTTCTCTCCACGTTAAAGGCATAAAATGGATACACACAGTCTTGTGACTTCAACTGGTTATACACCAAGCTCAGACCATTTGTTATTTGCAAAGGAAAAGGAAGCTGACATTCTTCCATCACTTTTTTTAGCTATGAATTGATGCAAAAATGCATAGGTGTGCTTCTATTTCATGAAGCATATCACACTTGCAATATCTGCTTGATAATGAGGCAGAGCAAATTGAAACACTTCTGCTTTCCTATTTTAAGACTGGCCTAACGCCTCCACAATGGCATTCAAAGAATAATCAGACAAAAGGAACAGTATTCCTCAAAGGGGAAAGTAAAACAACAAACATACACACAGATTCATGGAATTATTCTCTGGCCATTTGTACAAAAGAGTAATATTGGCAAAAGTTTGAAGACATGTCGGAGAATGGCTATTAGTATGTCTTAGCAATACAACTGCAGGAAAAGAATATTCTATTCTGAATTACAAATGAAATTTGAATAAAACTATTATCTGATAAATAAACCATTTTATTTTATCTAAAAGGGGAGCAAAATTTCCAACACCCCAGCAAGATAATATCAAAATAACACTTAAAGTATATGTGCTTTAACATGGGAGGGCAGGCAACAAGTGCTTTAAATGAACTGTGGAAGAAAAATAATTACATTTCAGAAGATATGCAATTTTCCTTGGGATACTGTACACAGCATCCCATGATCAAGTACCAATGCCAATTTACCCTTGCTTCATACCAGGCAGTTTACCTGGCTCTTGCAGAATTGTTCCCTGCAATCAATCATCCTAGTGCAAAGAACCACAACAGTAGAAGAAAAATCTCATAAACTTGAAAATGAAAACCTTTAAGTTTCAATATCATACTCATTTAACACAGCAACCAAATTAATACTGTCTGTATATACTTGAAGGAAGTTACCCCATTTTTCAAATGCCACCTAAACTAACTGTACCTCTTAAAGGAGAAGTTCTCAAACTATGATTTGGGATCTCAGGGGGTGTCACTGTTTTTTTAAAAAACTGACCAGCCTTGCACAGGCAGAGTAGAATGTGGTCATAATTTGCTCTTTGCTTTGCCTATGTAAGTCCCAATGGATTACATAGGCAGCACAGCAAAGTCTGAGAACTCCTGAAATAAGATTAAAATACAATTTCTGAAAGTAAGTGGTATATTTATTTCTTGCTCAATCCTAACCCCAAAGCACATATTCACACATATTCACTTATTATTTTAATTGATCATGATGTTGAAAAATTTCCCCTATGGTCATTTTGGGACAATAATTAAATCATTATAGACATTAACCACTATAACAGGTGATACAAGGAATGAGTTATTAGTAGGCACAAACATTTAAGAATGTAATCTTTGCACTTGTATATGTTTCTATCTTAAAACATCTAGGCAGCTCATTAGGAACAGTACTGCTGGACAACTAGCAAGATAACTCAATGTATGGGTGGATGAACTACCCAGCATACATCCAACGCACATTGGGATAACTCAGGGAAATATGGAGGTACAGCATTCAACAGTACATATGTGTTGGAAGGCAAAACATATTGCTATATTGTTTTTGCCAGTATAACAACATATCAAAAACTGTGGCAAATAAAATGGTTTATCTCGGTGATCAATTATCATAAATTTTATGAAAATTTAACATAAAACCTAATGGATGAGCATAACGTACAGCTTCTGCAAATATAAAATCAGTTCACTACCATGAATGAAAACAAAGATGATCTAATACACTTTCATTATAAAGTCCTCATAATTAACACAGGTATAGTAGAACAAAAAGTAAAGTGATTAACAATATGTTGTTTTACTATTTTAATCTTATTGGAAGAAGAGAATGCAAGCCATTCAAAATTCCTTTGGATTGGAACAGCATACAAACACCAAGGAGGCAAGGGAGCTGACATAATGAAAAAAACATTTTGTCTCAAGTACAGAATGAACTGTCGCCTTCTGGAATGTCTGCTGAACTATTTCTGGTCAACCTCAGTTTAAATAAAAGAAACCCCAGAGAGACCCCAGACTAACTTTACAGTATGAATATGGCAAAGTTGGCCCATGCTGCCCCACTGTCTTCCCAGAGCCTTCTCTTTCTACTGCCCTCAGCTGCTACCACTGTTGATATACTGGCCTGTGTGCCTGTTCTTCACTGTGATAGTTTTGACAATAAGGAAAAGGCTCTTAGCACACCCTCCCTTGGCCTTCCCACTGCCTTCCCTTCCTTCCATCTTTGCCTTCCCTCAGCCACTATTTATGAGACTGAAGAAAGTTCTTCTTGCTTGTGTGGCAGTTGAAAAAAGTTGTAAAAACATATACAGACAGTCCTCTACTTACAAACAGGTTACACTTTTAAGTCCATTTTGTTTCTAAATCCAACCAAGTAAAAAAACATGTAGTCACTATACAAAGGAAGAACACCGCAAATTAAACACTATGAGATCAGCAAACAGACAGGATGGGGCAGCATCCAAAAGGGCATATCCTCAGTCCCTAATGTGCAATGGTGCTGCCAAGAGTACGTATGTGGTGTGGCATAAACTAACACCTTGCCGCCTTTTCCTGCCTTCCGGGACCTTCTAGGTTGGAGTTGTGGACAAGTTCGTTCGTACTGGCGAAAGTTTGTAACTAGACGATTGTCTTAGTCAATTCTTTAGATGCATATCAGTATCTAAAGAAGTGACAACAGACAGTCCTCTACTTATGAACCTATTTTACCTCTTCAATTCAAAACCAGCTGAAACATGAACAATCTTTGGGTCAGTTAGAAAATGGGGTTGCTATTCTTTATGTGCCATTCCTATAAGGTTTTGTGAAAATCTTAGTAAAGAACTCACTATATTTTCATGCACTAATGGTCTGTGAATCAATAACTGGTTATCACCCCTTACTAAGCCGTGTAAGCCATGTAATAACTTCAACTTATTGATCAACTTTACGACCTTGAGTTCCTGAATGAAAAGCAGGATATAAATCTAACAAGCAAACAAATTTTTAGTCCCTTCACTGTGACAAAATTACAATACGCACATCAAAAAACTTTAAAACTTGCCATATAACAATTCAGTGTAGTTGTGATTTAGCTCTGCTCAAAATCAATTAATATGTAAAGCAAACAGCAAAAGAATGAAGCCCCCCTTTGTTTTCCATTAATAATACAAATTCAGAAGGAGTCTCATAGCACATTCTACCCAACTGGATTTCCACCTAGGACTTTACCTTATAGAACAATTTAGTGGTTGCATCTTGTATACATGGATTCCAATTTTGATCTGAAGTCTGGAATAGAAATTGAAAGTTATTCTGAAATTAGCATTACTGATTTATCTCATGAAATAAAACAACATTAAGAAAGATTTTTCCCATTTGTCATCAGGGACACCTGACTGGATTAGTGTAGTCTGGAAGGCTCCCAGTCATTAAAAAAAATATACATACCATATTTAGAAATAAAGTCTGAATAGAAAGAAACTCAGTCAGTTCCCAAGTATAAGAATCATCTTTCTATGGAGACCACCTAAATTTCAGATCTATACTTCTTTATAAATAGTGCAATTTTATTCAATATTCAAAATTTATTCAATTTTAATCATAAAACCAGTTTTGTTTTAATTAAACTTATATCTGTTTCCATTTTCAAAATTGTCATTTATGCCTGAATTATTAAGATTAGGTGAGCTACCAACATATTAGACATTCAAAAATAGGAACAAGAGTTTATTTAGGTGAGCACTGAACATATTTTTAATTAAAAACGGGAGTAGTGATAATACCTGTAAACTAAGATTTTCAAGTGAGATACCAAATGACAGTGGAATATCTTTATTTGTGATCTGCAAAACAAAACAAATATTTTTCAATATAAACAGTCCTACAACTTGCAGGATGTAATTTTAAAATCTGCGGCAGCATATCTGCCTTATAATAAAAGAAAAGAGACATTTCTTGACAATTTCTGTACATTTACGAATTTTATAAAACAGGATGACACAAATTGCTATGACTAACTTTTGCTTCAGATTAGCTGAACCTCATATCTTCTTACTTTTGTTCCTTTATTTTGGACATACTTAGGAAATTAGTTTTAAAAATTCTAAAAGCCAAAATCAGTAATCCTCATTATCTAATTCAGAAGAGAACTACAGATACATTGATTCTTCATGAATGGAAAGAATGCTGCAATATGTAGCAGCAAAGCTCAGGACGGAAACATTTTAGCCCTTGTCAGAAGACAATGTGCTATCAGGTCATTGAATTATCAGCATCCAAACAAGGTAGGATCAATTTAGCATTAACCAAAATTAGATATATGGTTCATTGTAATATTCCCAACATAGTGTCCTTAGTGTTTTACTCTATACATACTCCTTTATGTGTATGTATTCTAGATTAGTGTTCTGCAGCATACAGAACAAATCTAAATCTGAACTATATTTCTACAATCACTATGGGCATCAGGCTGTGAAAGGCTGCTTTTAGTTTTAAATCTCAGGGCAGGAATTTGCCTTATTTTTACATATAGTCATTAGTTCTTTAATCCACTAAAACAAGAGAAAGAAGTGAGGGTTCCAATGTTATCTGTTCAAAAGGCTCCACAGCATTAAGTCAGTGCCTAAAGAAATAATATAACATGCAAGTTTGTCAATCGCACCATCTGTTGAAGCCTTCCAAATTATAATAATGCAACAGGCAAACACACAAAGACCTCACAGTTTCAACCACTCAATCACTTTCCTTATGAGTGAACTGAACTAAGATTATCCATCTATACAACCATCTTAAATATTTATTTAAATTTATACGATTTATCTGAAGATTCTATACACATATACTTACATCATCCTCATATCGTATATGGATGTTAGAAATTTTCAACTGAAGGTTTCTTATAACTTGAGTAATTAGCTTTTCTATGAAAGTATCTTGCTTTTCTTGTGGTTTATCTAAATCAAGTGAATATTTAATATTATTAAGCAATAGAGACTACACAGCACAGAAATAACATACAGGAATACATAACAGGTAATTCCATATATTATTTATATATACACATAGACACACAAATGCACCAGAAACAGTGTAGGTAGAAGTCAAATATGAATTCCTATAAAGGGTAGATGCAATCACCTCTTTTTTCAACAACAGATGTATGTCTTGCTAAACATGGAAGAGTGAGAGAAGCAAAGGCCAAAAGCAAAGACAGGATACTTAGGAACTCAAAATGGTAACTGTCTGAGATGACACAAGCAGCCATACTAACTGTGACCCAAGTGTGATGGAAGTGGGCCAGTCAAACTCTAAATAGGGTGGGGAGGGTACAAAGAAATGGAAGCTCAAGACAAAGGTATCACTGGAATCCTTACAATAAACAGTGGTGCTTCAGCTGAATGAAGTGAGTTGAGATCCTCTATATGACATTTGTTACTGACACCTAATAGGGATAATGTTTGCTGCTGATGCAAGCAATTACAGGACTACAGTTGGAACCAAACTGGAGGAGACCATCTCTGCTGCAGATGTGAGTGGTCAACAGTATTCAGAACCTCAGTCTGCATTGATTCAGCTTCGCAGCATTAGAAAATCGTAACAAACCGTCAATGCAAAACTAGGAATATACTAACTAAATTGGCAGGCTTCATGCTATGATTATTTATTATTCTACAGGCACTTAATAATTCATTAAGTGGGAAAATGTTCTACTGAATCCATACTGAATCATACCTTTTAAGTGACTTATCAAAAGGGCAGCCAAACCTTAACACTTAATTTAAGCAACAGCATGTATCCTATGGTAAAATACTTACATTTAAGCAAATGCTAAACATATAAATCATAGGTAAGTAATAAATAACCACAAATATAAGTGGTGGTTGCACAATTCTTGGGAAAGTACTTTGATCTATTTTAAATAGAGTGTAAAACAGACTTGAATACACAATTGCTTTGTTCACTTGACAACCTATCTTGGAAAAAAGTCAAGATTCAACCACTTTTGATACTGTTGGATCTTTCTGGGTTTGGCACTAGAGGCAAAATCAGTATGAAATAAAAGAAAATACAATGTATTCTGCATTTCAGAAGAAAGCAGCCTCAACTAGAATATTCTGTTAAAAATTTTAAATGGATTGTATTCTGACCGAACAAAATTCTAATTTGAGTAATTCTGCCATAGAGAACACTGGGAGCTTGAAAGAAGCCCATTTGTTCTTAATCCCAGAAAATAGAGGGAATGGTAGTCAATACTGTGTGTAACCAACTAGTCAATTTAGAGTGAAACTGAATAAAAGCATGAGTTAAACACTTTGTAAACATTTTAAAATACTTACAGCAAAAATTGAAATCAATAGTTAAGCATGCTTTTTGCAGCCTCCTTAACACCTACAGTACTGACTACAGCAAAAAAGCAGTATCAAGTGGATTCATATCAATACCACCAATGAACAGCAGCAAATATTCAATTTCCTTGTTAGCTTGAGGCTTCTTCCTAACGTCTATGTCCAGTGCATATTTTTGCATCTGGCAAACTGCCTGAGAAGCTCAACAAACAGACAGTTATTGTATTTAGCAAACCAAATGCTCAAAAACATATATATATACTGCATATGCACAGTGTGCATTTTGGCATTTGAAAACTTGCTAAAAAATAAAGCCCAGGGACAACCACATTATATTAGTATTCCTGGATTGTAATTTCCTCATAGCAGAGAATTTAAAAATAATAGTAAACATTTCTGGTGGTAAGAATCTACATTAAACTCTCTCTTCCTGCCCTCATGTTCAAATGAGCTCCGGCTTTACCTGCTGCTCTATTAGTAAGAGACTGTCCGCTGCTATGACTTAGAACAGTGGTTCTCAAAGTGTGGTCTGGGGACCCCTAGAAGTCCCCAGGACCCTTTCAGGGAGTCCATGAAATCAAATAAACATTTTAACATTTCTCAGTTTTAATTTTTAATACAATGCATATCAGTACATATAATTCACATAAACCAAAGCTCTTTGGGGTCTTCTGTCATTTTTAAGAATGTAAAGAGGTCCTGAGACCAAAATGTTTGAGAACCACTGTCTTAGAAGAATAAAAATACAACTACATGCCAATCATGGAATTCAAAATCCTAGAAACAACTTGGAATGAGATGTCCCAGTTTATCTGAAACTCAGGACACTCAAAATGGCTATTCTGAGTTTGCATTTCCAGCCTGGTTGGTTTCACTCAAAACATTTCCCTAAGGAACCAAAAGGTAGTACAAGGACATTATTCTTGATCCCACAGCATGCATGTGTTTGTATGTGGTTTGTGCATGTGCACACATGTGATTGAAGGGGAACATACACACATACACTCAGATGTCCATGTTATTGTATTACCAACAGAGAAAAAACGGTTTCTCCCTCCTAACCTAAAATAATCTAATTCGGAGTTCTTGATCTAGTTTTATCACTGGAGGATTCAGTAGCCATAGTGACACAGAAGACCCTGTAACAGTTTAGACCAGGGGTTTCTAAACTTTTTGCCATCACATCTCCCTTTAGTGTAATCTTAATGTACATGCTTCTCCTAAAAATTCAAACAACAAAATGAACAACTAAAACAATACAATGAAACTTTGGGGAAGGTGGATTTATTCTAACAATGTAACTAAAAGGTTCTTCACATTTCCCCTGGACTCCATCTGCACCTCCCCAAGGGAGGTACGCCTCACAGTTTGGGAAACCCTAGTTTAGACTGATACACCACGTACAGTTTCTCATGGACACTGACAGCCTAAAAGCAATTAAACGTTTTTACTATACGCAGTACTGATTGCTATAATACACTGTAGGAGATGCTGCCTTTGATAACTATTCAGAAACTTCTAAAATGCAGATTGGTCAGAGGAGACATATATTAATACTGAAAGATTCTGGTTTATTTTCCAGCACAATTCCAAGACTAGTATTTACTTGTATGTACTTTTAAATCCTTACACAGCTTAGAAACTAGTTTCCTAGAGAAGCTCCTGTTTTCATTTTAGCCTGTTCATGTACAGAATTCATGTGCAGAGGATCTTCTCCCGTACTGTCACTACACTCATTTGAGAATTGAGAGGGAAGTGACCAAAGAGTTTTATCAGAAACTGACTTTTGTTTACAGAATTTCCTTCCCAATTTTTTTCTGCATCAGGCACAAACTTTATTTTGTCAAGCAAAAGCATTACATTTTTAAGGCTTTTGTGGTGTAAGCAGTGATGGGTTAATGTATTATTTTTAAATATAATTGTGTTTTAGTTCCTAATAGAATTTTAGTTTGCTTTTGAAAATTGCTCTAGAAATTATACTAAGAGGACATTTTAGAATATTTAAAAATAAAAGTAACATTAAAATAACAAACTATTATTTAAAGTTGTTCAGGTCTACTAATTAGCTTTGTTAAATTAATTATCTATAATCTAATAAAGATAATTTAATCCCTAGAAACATCTCAAAGTAAATCATTCATTTATCTGTTGAACTACCATAACAATATATCTAGCAAAAATAGACATGTTAGTCCAGATTCTTTGTTATTTGTTCTAAATTTATTATATTGTTTTTTCCTTACCCTAGTTCCTTTTGTGTTTTATATGCTTATCTGAATCTCCAATCTAAACATGCTACGTAGTAAGGTAAAGGTAAAAATCCCCTTGAGTTATGCTTGATTCTTAGTCCAGCCACATAATGTTCTTGGCAGCTTCATGGAAGTGATTGTCTTCTTCTAGAATTTGTTTTTCCACAGCTATCAGCTCTGGAATTCTGAAGTGATAACCTTCTATGTACCAACAATATCCAACCCTTCTTAGATATTTGCTTAGGGAATCCTTGGTTTTAAGGAATATACTTGAGTAGATAAATTTAGGAATGCACTATAAGTTTACTGTTTTTAAGAGGCTCGTCTACTTCTATTTCCACAAATCTTCCTTTGTGGGGTAATGATCCCTAAGTATATGTTTCGATCCCAGACTGGCCAAGTGAGGTTGTTGAAACCCTGACCCAGTGTTTATTCTGTTTCACTCTTACCAAGACCAAGTGGCTGTGGCTGTTGGGAGTCCTTAGGTCTGGGGATTTTCCAGCTTTACTCTTCTCTATTCAGGAACGGTGTGTAACCAGTGGGTTCTCTTGGATTCACAGCTCCTGCTCAGAAGAGCAGGTGGCAGCAGTGGCTAGGAAGGCCTTTGCATAGCCCAATCTGGTGTACCAGGTGCACCCTCTCCTGGATTGGGGAGCCCTCCAGTCACTCACACCTTTCTCACCTCACACTCAACTACTGCAATACACTCTACATAGGACTGCCCTTGAAGACCACTTGGAAGCTTCAACTAATCCCAAATGCAGTGGCACAAGCAATGATGGGCTTGCTCGGCATTCCCTTGTGACACCTCTGCTGCATGAGCTGCACTGATAGCCAGTGTGCTTACAGGTGTGATTCAAGGTGATGGTTATCACCTATAAAGCCCTACATGGCATAGGGCCCAGTTATTTGAGCAACCGCCTATCTCCATAGTTTCTGCCCAGCCAGCACTATCTGACACAGTGGGCATGCTCCAAGTCCCCTCGATTAAAAAATGTCGTCTTACAGGACTCAGAAATTGTGCCTTCTCTGTAGTGGTGCCTGCCCTCTGGAATGAAGTGCCCCTGAGATATGGATGGCTCCTACCCTGATGGCATTCCAGAAGGCTGTGAAAAACTGGCTGTTTTCCCAGATCATGGGGTATGGCAAATGGACGCACACACAAACACACGTCTTATAATTACTTCGTCATTCTTTTTGGATTAATTTTATTGCATTCTTATTTATTTATTTTTGATGTTCTTTAGTTTGTGAGCCACCAAAGTCAGTTAGAATTAAAGCTGAATGAATGAATGAATGAATGAATGAATGAATGAATGAATGAATGAATGAATGAAATGGCTATTGCCTCTTTCCTTACCTTTGTCAGCAATCTTTTGTTTTGCGTCTTCAATTCTTTGTAGTTCCTTTTGCTTTGCTTCCAGCTGTTGCTTTTCTTCTTTTTCAGCATCATATTTAATACCTGATAGAATGGATTACTTTAATAAATAATTAAACAAAACTGGGATTAAATAAACAAAGAATTTCAAATCACTTACAGAAGTTCAACATTTGACTGTACTTATTCTCTGATTGAGAAATATTTTGTATCTATTCTTTGTATGCATTCTAGCGATAAGCAACAAGTCATCCTATTCCTCTTTCAAGAATAAAACAATGCGCTAAAATGGTTTTTCCGTTGTATGATGGGTGTGTGCATAATGGTATGTGAGAATGACTTTGGGAGACAGGAGGAACAGCTGCAGACTCTACAACTGGCATGTAAAAGATTTCTCAGTTCACAGAAGAGGGTCTGTAGGAAGTGTTTCAGAAGGGACCCTCCCTAGTTTTCCGGAGAGTAAAATGAGAGGAGGGGAGAAATACTTTCAGTCTTACAAAATTCTGTTAATGTAACCTTACAATAGAGTTAGTGCTCATAGTTGTGCTTCTTGTCTGGAGTATTTCGAAGGGCTAACAGTGTGTGTGTGCATATGGGGACATAGGGCTGAATAGCCAAGAGTCATACAATATCTGCAGAATGTCCACAAGAGCTATTAGAGGCAAGCAGAAATTTTATGGTGTTGTGAAGACTGCAAGATATACCATCAAATGATAAGAGGTACATGACAAATTATCTTTAAAAAGCACACAAAACCTGAAAGGTTGAATTTAGGATGAACTATTTTGTCATTTGTTCATTGATCTGTAAACTGGATCATGCCTTCATTGTGTAATTATTTATACCTTCTTCTTCCAGTTCTTTTACTAATTATTGATTTACAAAGAAACCTGTTCTCTCTCTCTCTCTTTTTTTTTTTTTGGTGGCATAAATTAACTAGAAAACTTTGGCCAAGAATTTAGGATAATGCTCTTGAAAAAATTCCTGGCATTCTCAAAAAGTATTCTAAACTTGATGACCTATTCTGAATGAGAACACACCCTTTCTGAAAGAACAAGTATATCATTTGGGAGGTGTTTTTTTTCATTCAAAGATGTTGCTAGGGGCATAGGGGGCTTTAGCGGCAAGGAGAAGCTATGCTCAACTTCAGCTGATGTGACACATGTAATCTTTTCCTGATTGTAGCCTAGTTCCAGTGAACTATAGTGACTAATAATCTTATAGTGGGGCTTCAATGCACTCTATGAAAGACTGTCATTGAAGAAGATCCAGAAGCTACAGATGATGCAGAACATAGTTGTTAAATTCTTGAGTAAGGTAGCTAAATAAAATCATGGGAGCTCAATCCTTAGTGTTGTAGTGGTGGCCTGTGAGCTACTAGACCCAATTTAAGGTGCTGATAATAGTCTATCCAGCTCTAAACAGCTTGGGACCTATTTTCTTCTAGGGGAAGTATGAACAGATTCGAATGATTCAACATGTTTGTTCACCCAGGTACTGTCCAACTAGACAAGTGCAAGGTAATACTTCTCTCAACACTTATACAAATAAGTCAACAAGTAACAACAATACTAACTGCTTCTTACTTGCCAACCACAAATAACCTCAGACTTTGGACAAGAGAACACCAGTAACCAACTAATTTGGCTTTTTACAAAAAATACATTTAACTTGAAAAGGAGGTTGAAAATAGTTTTCTTTGACTCAGGGATATTAATTATGACAGAAATTTTAATATATAATACAGACTATTTATAGTTAGCAAACCATTGCATGATTTAAAATACAGGGACAAAAATTATACTAGCTAAACATTATTTTACATATTTATTAAAGTTCAGTTCCATTTTTTAATCAACTTACTGGCCGTAGGCACTATAAGCAGATAAACTTCATCTAAAACAGCTTCAACTGGCTGGGTATAAAGATTTTTCCATGGTATTTGCAAATTCAGCTGACCTAGAATCACAAAGAAACACCGATTTTTTAAAAAATAAACAATATTTTTAATCATAACTGTTTTTTAAATATTTAATACTGTTAACTTGTTTTCTATTTCAATACATTTCCAAAAGATATATTAAGAAAAATATATTAGTGTCCTACTGAGATTTTAGCACAATCAAGACCAAAATACAAATAATAAAAATATGCCGTGTAAGGCTTCATATAATAAACACAGAAGTATACAGGCAATTAAACCATTGTTTTGGTACTGTTACCAGTGAAAGCCTCTTCCCAAAAAGTTATAGATGGGTCCTTCCCAATTTCCACTTTGAAATGCAAACTCAAGTATCATGTTTAATATTACATAAAGTTTAGCTGTAAATTATACTGACAATTCTACAAATCTGGGTCAAACTAGGTAGCCACTCCTCATCTTTTTTTTCTTCAAGTTATATTCCTCATAATTTAAAACAGCTAAGCATATCATGTTGAAAAAAACTGGTGCAAATCTTATCTGAAAGGAACACTCACTTTAGGGATGGGCAAAACATTCTATGCATTCATCACCTCATGCACAAAATGCATACTTATGAGTGGTTGTATATTTAGTCTAGTCTGGACATGGACCTAGAACATGGGCGTTCAATGCAGTAGTTTTTCCAAGATATTGAAAGTGAAGAAAAAGGGACTGTCATATGATAGAGCAGAGCAGGATAGCAGCTAAAGAGAGGTAAGGGAAAGGAAAATGCAGGAAGATTATTAGGAGGAGCAGACAGGTCTGCTGGTTGGGTTTGTGCAGTGATAGGTGCCTGCAAGTAAAGGAAGGGAAAATAAGCAATGGGAAGATGGGAGTAAAGTATGTCAGCCTTGCCTTGCTTTTCCCACAGGGCCCCCCTCAGCTAATTTGTCTCAGCTGAAATATAAAATATCCAATACTTTCCACCTTCTGATTCAGCTGGACCACGGTGTCTCCAGAACAGCCCAGCTGAACTTCCAAGCTACAATGTGTTTGTGGTGGTTTACCATTCTCCCACTACCATCAAAATATTTCCATTTCAAACCTAAATCCATAGAATCTGAACATAAATCTGAACTTCATTTTTTTCCAAAATGAAAAAGGAACAATACCACACTTTTGCACTATTTTACTCATGCTTGCAATTAATTATTGATTTAGAAAATAAAACAAGACCAATAAAGTTTTTTCATATATTATTATTAAGTTTGTATACCGTCTGACTCTCAATGACTCTGGGGGTTCACGTGTAACAACAATAAAAGGAATAAACAATACAGCAATAAACAAGAACAAAGGAATAAAAGACAGCAAACTGCTTAGGAGCAAAAAGCAAACCCTCACAACCTAAAATGGGGGCTTCAATCACACTTGCCAAATGCTTGGGCAAAGAGACAGGTTTCCAAAGCCATCTGAAACACCAGCAGAGTGGGGGCCAATCAGATCTCAAGGGAAACCTCATTCCAGAGGGCAGGCATTCTGACAGAGAAGGCATGCTTCCAGGGACCCAATAGATGGCATTGTTTAATTGAAGGAATCCAGAATGTACTAACCCTGCCAGATCCAATTGGCTGGGCAGATACTACTAGAAACAGGTGTCCCTCAAGTAACCAAGCCCAATGCCATGTAGGGCTTTACAGGTAAATAACCAGCTCCTATATGACTACTATTTTATTGGAAGAAGGAAAAAATACAAAATGTATAGAATACAACCTCAATATTTGGATCTCAATTCAATAACAAGGTATTTATCAGATATATAAGAAAGACAGTTTAAATCAACCAAGAATACAAGAATGTATTCATATGTATTAGATGCCATTAATAAACTGCCAATTATAAACCAAAATTGTGAACCATAGTAGACAAGATATTTTTATTTAATAAAAACAACTATTCACTGAATATCTTAATTAAGGAACTATTACAGTATAATCCCCATTGAATGTAAACTGATAAATGATTAAGCATATAGGCTTTAATTTAATCTGTATAAATTTGCATGTAAATATCAAAAGTTCTCAAGAAGCCTTATCTTTTTATTGTTAGATAATAGCTGCATGTTGAACTAATGCAATTATAAGAAATAAAAACTATATTTTTAAAAATACACATTTCATTAGTTATTGTAAAAAGCTTAAGAATTCTACTTACCAATATGACCTGCTTTAACTTTAAAGGGGACATCAAATTGATACTGTAAAGATAAATGTTTTAGATTACACTTTAATGACGAAAATGTTTTTACTGTAACACTATAAGAGCCCAGAATGTGCACAAAAACTTCACTTATTAACTGCCAAGACAGTATATAAATACTATATATAAATATCATATGAACACGACAAATCCCATGTAGTTATGAAGGATTATGATCCTAAGGGCACTTTAGGATTAGGCTTTTACTGCACGAATTACTCTGCCTTTTTCAGATTTTTATGAAAGGTCCAGAAGACACTGCTCTTCACATGTAATCCACAATTACTTTGGCTTTGTATGTACTTTGGTAGTATGAAAAGCCCTCTTACTAGAAGCATTCTAACAGGCCACAGCACTGGACTCTACAGATGTTCTACCAAACAGAATGCATACACACAGATTAAGCAGGATTATATCTATAGTCTCTGCCCTACAACTATTTAGCATAAGTATTAAGATAGTGAAAACCATTCAGAGGTAGTCATATCTTGTGGCTTCCAGGGGAGGACTGAAGACGTCTCCATGAAAGCAGAGCCAACGACCGTGGCGAAGAACAAAGAACTGCTGAGTAGACTCTCTGGAACCTCTCCAGACAAGGAGAGGAGGGGAGATTGCCCACATGTGCTCAAGATGGCTGCTCCTTGCGAGGATACCACAGGACAGCGGTCTCCTGCAGGTGTGCTCGGAGATGATGGGAATAGCCATCTTGCAACCACGGTCAGCACTTTTTAAAGGACACTAAGTTCACTATACCTCACTTTCTAATCACTTCCAGAAATTGCTTATTAACTACTTTTAAGCTATTAGAGGTCTTCAGAACAACAAGTTTGAAAGTCTGCCTTCAATCCTGAATGAAAGAAAATCTTAATCATAAGCTTAAAAATTTAAAGAATCTGAAAGAAACAGTAAAAAGCTAAATAAGATTTTGATCTTAGAAAATTATAAACAGACTAAGGGTCCAGATAAATTTGGAGTATAGAAACTTTTCAATAAGATTTTGGAATTAATTATAAAGAATGAACAGCTTCTTATGGGAAATGGATCTGTTGTGGTTTTTGTAAGGCATAACGAAGATAAGTAATGTTATGATTTTAAAAACTGAACACTAGAGGGGACTAAAGATTCTAGGCAGAGGGGAAAAAAAACACAAGCCTACCTTTTGTGTTAATTACCTGGGACCTATAAAACGATGCAAAACATGGAGCCAGAAATTAGTAGTCACAATTTCAACGGTGTTAGTCATGATGTCTACCTCTATGGATAGACTATGTTCAAAAGATGTTATTCAAGAAATGACAGATGTGGAACAAATTTCATCTAGCAAAATAGAGATGGTACCAAAAATGGGTTTACAAATGACAAGCCAAAAGAATAACTTGGAAAGGGATATCTCACTGGATATACAAAAGAAACTGGCTGATATTTTAAAAAATCAAAAGGAAAGTACAAATGATAAACCAAGAAAATGACCTAGATAATTTTTTTCTTATTGGATTTACAAAAGAGGCTTGTTAAGGACCTGAAGAACTCTGTGCAATGGGATAAATAAGAAATGAAGAGAAATCAAATCCTATGACAATATTTGAATGAACTAATATTAAGCAGTCTTAAACATTAAGACTGTTAGAAGTAGAAGGAAGGAATACAAAATTGGTTTATTTGATCAAGGTTAAAACAAGATAGGCTATTACTTCTGACAACCCTTTATGGACTTTCTGCTGACACCAGGACAAAGTTTTATGGATTTGCCTATAGATAAAGGACCAGATATGGGATGAAGAGATAACTGTTCAAAATTTTAGAGAGGGTGACAAATCACTAAATTTGTTTATACTTGTGAAGATTGGAAGTAACTTCTTTACATATTTCTTTTCTCTTTATTATATTCTTACTTTTCTCTTCCTTGTCTTGTTTCTTTTTCTTTACACTTCTTTCTATTCTACTCTACTCTACTCTCTTTTTTAGTTTAGCTTGTATTAGGTTTTACTATTATAATCAAAATTATCCACAGCTTGCATACAGTTCTGTAAAAAAACTATTTGCCCCATTTTGCTTTTTTTGATTTTCATGTGGGTCTCAGTGATATATAAAGGATATCCTTTATATATCCTGGGTAAAAAAAAATTAACATGAAAATTTCATGCTTGCTTCATGTACCTATGTGAAAAAATAATGATCCCCTTAGATTCAGTAACTTGCTGTAGCACTGTGAGACTAGGCTGAAGCTGCCATAACTAAAAGATGAAGGCATGTAAGCAGAGGACAAAAGCAGGAATCTTGTCTAAAAAAGCCCTTCAGGGAAATAGATAAGAAGGAAACAAGTTGTTAAGGAAACAAAGAAAAAAATGTCACCTGAACCAGACAAAGGAAGTTGGGCCTAAGCTCATGGAAACTTCTCCCCAATCCCATCAACAGCTATCAGACTTGTAAATTAACAAGGCAAGAGCAGCTGCCAGATAAAGCAAGAACTTTTGGGGGTAAAAGGGGTCCTAAAGCCCGCCCACTCCTTGAGTCATCTTTGAGTTCCTTTGGAGGCTCCCATCCCTCTAGCTAGTGCCTGGCAGCCCAGTTGAGAAAGAGGTGGGTAAGTGTGGATCAGTATGTGTGCGCATGTATGGAAGAGCAAATGTATATTGTAACCAGTAAAGTTTTGCTGTTACTTTAAAATCACCGGGTCTCCGTGTATTCCAAAGAACCTGCTGTGCCTCAGTGTTCAGTTGAAAGTGATGTGTGCATATCCCTAATTACTTCCCTCCTGCTGCCTAGGGCTGTGTGTCTGTCTGCTCTAGCTGCACCTATCTGGAAAACCCAGGTAGAAAGCAAGGAGGGCTTACAAGATCCACTGCCTCAAAAGGCTGTGTGTGTGTGAGTGACCATAAGCCGAACCTGGGAGCCCTTGTAACACCACCTTTAACTAATAATTACAACCAAACACCTCCTATAACTAATGATCAGTCTCTCCTATCACCTATAGAAATGTTAGCTAATTGCTTTATGACATTACTGCATCAGCCCAGTAATATTTCAGGATCTTCGACTTACAGCAATTATTTGACTGGGAAAATATATTACTTTTTTAAGAAATAAACATATAATCCATGTTTATTTTGATTAATCAGGATGAAAAATGTGAAAGAAAATACTTTTACATAATGCAAAACAAATATAAGAAGAACGAAAGAGAGGAACACGAAGACCAAGAACATTGTGGTTGGACGCAGTTGATGAGATCAAGAAGAGAGGGATGAGACTTTTAAGGAACAAAAGGCAACATATAAAATGGTAGATGGTTGTAATAAAAGCAAGGATGGTTTGAAAGCACAGGAAGATATGGAGAGGTGAGTGATGATGTTATAAAATAGTTTTATCTATGCTTTTTTTCCTTTTTCTACTTCATGCCTTTATTTTTCTGGCTTATTTCTTCTTTTTATGTGCTCTGCATAAAGCTGCTTAACGCAAAAGGGAATAGTACGTATATGTAAAAAATTACAGTTTTCAAGAATATTATTAAGAGACTTAATTAAAAAGCTGTTTAGCTATAACAAATAAGAATTCACTATGAATGTTGAGTTACTTAACTTACATACTGTACCAAATGTGGTATAAGGCAACGCTGCCCTTTAATTTCTTTACCTTTTTAATTTTCCTTTTTTTATCTTTATTAGGAATAACAAGACCCAGAAAACTGTCTATGCTCCTATATGCAGACAACAGGAATTTTGCATGCAGCTTTAGGCATTCAGCTGCTTGCCAAAATTTTCTAGCAAAAATTCTGAAACAAATATTTTTAATAATCATTATAACACTCTTTGAAAATCCCTCTCCTTATATAAAAACAGGTCATGGTTTACTGTATATTAATTTATCATACAGTGAAACCTCATTTTAACAGGCAAATTGCAGGGAGGGGACTATCAGTTATTCCCCAAAGTCTGGTAAATGAAATATTATGTCATTGCTGCAACACAGGTATTATTTGCCTGATAATATATTTACATAAAGGATACGAATGATGTTGTTTGCATGATGTCATTACACAAATGACCTGAACTGACACAAAGAAGGTTATTTGCAGTGTTTGCATAAAGACACAAACTATATCATCTGTGAAAAGATGTCATTAAGCAAATGATGCAAATCATATAATTTATTTCAACGTATGTCATTTGTTTAATGACAGTTATGCAAATGACATTTATTTATTTGTTTCCTTGTTTATTTTATTTGTATGCTGCCTGATTCTCAATGACTCTGGGTGGCTCACAAGTAAAAACATTAAAAAAATACAGTAAGGAATAAACATTAGGAATAAAAGATAGCAAGATGACAGAAACCAGACTGGAACAGAAAAAAGAAACATACACACAATCCAAGGGAGCTTCATTCACCCTCACTAAAAGTCTGGGAGAAAAGCCAGGTCTTCAAACCACTTTGAAACACCAGTAGGGCAGGGGCCATCTGGATCTCTAATCGCAACATAGTTTAGCCTGCTACATACAAAGTACATTGCACTGATATCCATTCCCTTATTCCAAGAAATTCCCAGAATGATTAATAATAACATGATGAGAAAGAATATTAATATTTTCAGGAAGGTTTAAGTTAGCATCATATTTTGTTTCTGTTTTACTTAATTTCTGTCCCCATTTTCCAACAAACATCTAACAAAGTTATGTCTTATATTTTATGTATTATTTTTATCATCTAATTTTATTCTGTGATGAATGTACTGATTTAAATAAGTATAAACATATTACTTATGGTATATTTCATTAAGATGCTAAAGCAGAAACTTGATTTTTTTTTTAAAAAGATACTAAGCTCAACAAATGCTGAGTTGTACTAATTATTGGTAAATTATACATATTTCTTACTCTGTTCATTTTAAGTCAAATTATTTCAATGGAATTTTTGCTTGCTTTGTACTTACCAGTGCATTTTCTTTTATTACAAGATTTTTAAGTGCTACTGCTCCTGTTAAAAAAAATGTTTAAAAATCATAATCAGATAACAACAAACTTGATTTACAATGTTTTTAATAGTCAGAAATACATCGCTTATTAGAATTCTAACCATTTTTAATGAACACTTAGCACAGTAAAAAATGCAGTATTTCAGGCTAAGATTGCCAATTTATTTTGTCTTATCTGTGAATCTGCACACACCCCTTTGGTATTCCTCATGGTCAGAATTTCCTGACCTTCAAAAAAAAGCCAGCCTCAGAAGCTAGTCAAAAGGCAGAAAGGGGAAAGAATATCAAATCTCCCTCCCTCAAAGATTATAGCACAGCCTCTGATTTGGGGATGGAACATTCATCAAATCCAAAGATTCCTGGGAGGCTACCCAAAATTATTTAGATAAAACACTGAACTTCTTTTTAAAGTTAAATATGTTTGTCCCAAACAATACCTGAACTAATGTCAGTATTACTGAACTGTTGGTTTATGCCTTATTTCCATTGTTTTCCTAAATGCATTTTATTTTAAATAATTCCAAATCTGTATTATTATAAATCTTTAAAGACCCATCCAGGAACAGTCCCTAAAATATAATACATAAGATGGATAAGCAACAGAATGGAAAATCACACAAATTAAGCAAGAAAAATCTCCACAAATTTCTCATTGATTTGGAAACTGCAATTCTGGAAAACATACCAGCTAAGAATTCTGAATAAAGTATCACAGCCACATAACATTCTTCTACACTTCTCTGCCAATGTGAGGTTGAAGAACCCAGACATCACAGATAACCTTTGCCTTGAAAAGGGACCATAACTGAGATAGAAGGTGATCAGCAGGGGAAAGAAGCAGGCAGGCTAGTAACATCAATAGGGTCTACTATATCACCAACAATCTCAGTAAAACCAATCATAATTTCCTGAACAAAGTCCAGTACTTAATGTAGATACTTTGCAATCAGCTGCAAAGGCTACAGCTGCAGTTAGGCTGCTGCAACTTCAGCAAACACACTGATGTTGCCAGCTTGCCAGACCCAAACTGGTCTAATTTTCCATTATTTTCACGTTACACAAGTGTTCTAGGAATGTTATTATACCAGTATATATGTGTGAAATATAGTAATATACACTCAGATACATGTTGGCAATAATTCTGGGAGATGGTTATAGAGAAAGGTAATGATCCTTGAGAAAGGGTATGTGTAGCTGCATGATAATCTTGGGGAAAAGACCACAAAAAAGAGTGGAAGACAGAGGCCCCATCACAAGGATTAATGTGATTTGAGAGCCAAAACTCCCCATCCATCACTGGGCTACTCATAAACTTTTTCTTTCTTTCTGATGGGGCTGCCGTGGCACCACCATTTGCCATGATGGAACATCAGAGGAACAGACTGGGACTGTAACTCCAATCTTCATTATTTTTAAAAGACATTTCCTTTCTTTAACAATTAGTAGCTCAGAACATATGTTGTTTAAAAATCTGTTTTCTGATAAAGTTAACAATTCTACAAAGTATCCTAAGAAATATTTTCACTTAAAAAATACACCCTATGGATTTTTATCCTTCATAATGCAAGGAAGTAGGAAATAGATATACATAGAACAACTTCTTCAATAGTTATGCATAGGATCCAGAACATTAATGTTCAGATTTGGCCCAATGATTCTTCCTATCTTTTTCTCAGCCTTTTATTTCTGAACAATGATACTACAAACTTTAAGTTGAAATAAAATTTAAAAATTGCAGAAATAGGTTTTAGCAAACACATATATAAAATCAGAGAAAATAAAAAGAAAATTTAAACAATCTGTAAATAACATCTAGCAATTTCTATAAACTGCTAACAAGTTTTTGCAAAAAAAAAAAAAAAAATTTAAAAAATCTGAAAAAAACATCAAGCAATTTTTAAAAACGGCAAAAAAGTTTTTGAAAAAAAAAAAAAAAAATTTAAAAAATCTGAAAAAAACATCAAGCAATTTTTAAAAACGGCAAAAAAGTTTTTGAAAAAAAAAAAAAAAAATTTAAAAAATCTGAAAAAAACATCAAGCAATTTTTAAAAACGGCAAAAAAGTTTTTGAAAAAAAAAAAAAAAAAGTCAGGTTGTTCAGTGCCACACCTGTTAGAGTGCACATAAATCTGCCTGCATATTTACAATCTTAGCAGACACAGATATGTAAGTACATACAACCTTCCACCCACACATGTGTACACATTTATATATGCATACACATATTTTTTACACACATTGTCACGGCCCAAATAAAACCAGAATGATTTTCAGTCACTTCACCAGGAGGAAAAGAGAATCTAAGAGCTTTTCTTTTTCTTCCAGCAAAAAGGAAGAAAACCAGTTTTACCCCAACCTTGGCTATGCACAACAATTTTCAGTAGGATGAAAAGGATTGCCTTTTGCTTCCCTTCTAATAAAAGGGAACTTCGTACAGCTTCCTGAGCAGTTGATTGATGGGCAAATGAGCGGAGCTGCAGGTTCCATGGAACATTACTGTATCCTGGTACCTTTCAAGGGTCATGTGCAGGTCTCAGGCAATGAACTGCACCTTTGAAAAGAGAACTGCCCACATCAAACCATTCTATATCTACTTCTGGATAATCACACACGTACGCACACACACACAAAAAAAACCACTCAGTGATAGCTGTATCACTTCACTGAAAAAAATCCAAAGCCTGTAGACAGCAATGCCTTTCATAAGATCAACCAAAAGTTAGAGAATAATAGAAATATTTTAAATCCTTTATCTAACTGGATATTAATTAGAAGAGGACAGAGGGAGATAAAAAGATGGCACATTATTAAAATCACATCTGTACTTCTTAATAGTTTTAAGATGAAGTGCAGACTTAAATTAGCTTCAGCTAGCTGTTAAGCAGGTTTCATGTTGCACCTACAGCTGCCAGGACAAATAAGCTATCTTGGCTGATGTCATATTTTAAAAAATACAAGTACTGGAAATTACATAATTCTCTTTCCAGTGCTACGTGGACAGCACAAAATCCATATAAGAGAGAGAATAGAAATTAAAACAAAAGTGTTAATCTCTACATAAAATAACTTGGAGAATTAGTCAACAGCAGAGACTAGTGTGGTTTTTACTGTCACTGACTATATTATGTGCCATTTATATCCCACCCTCATAATATTACATGAAACTGCTTTGCTGGCTACTTTTTCTCACATGAAAACTGCTTACAACAAGAATAATGAAAGACATGACCAATGGAATAGTTAGTTACAGAACACAGTAAGAAAATCAATAAAATATTCACAGAACAAAAAAAGAGCTGCAAGGTCCTCTTAAAGGCTACATGAACAACACCAAGTAAAATTCTTGAGAAAAAAAGCATTTCCCAAGAATGAAACATCAACAGAACATTCAGTTATATCAACCATACTTATCAACCACAATGATGATCCAGAAAACATGGGGTCAGCTGATATCAGAGGGTGGGAAAATTCAGATGTGTGTGGGCAAATACTAAAATGAACAGATAATGAAAACATATGATGCAAAATTCTATTGCATAATCAAGTTAGGTTGTTGAATTTTATACCAATGGATGTAACTATATTGTTTTCAGGCAGCTCTGTAGAGAAAAAAATCTGTAATCTAACTGAAATGTGACCAGAACTAATTTAGTGAGGCCAACATCCTAGTTCTCCCCTCCTCCACAGCAGACCCTAAGGCCTTCCGCCAGCAGACTCTAAGGCCCCTTTCTTAGCCAAATGGAAATCCAGAGCAGATGCTGTAACAATGGTTCCTCTGCAGATGCAGGGCAAGGTTACTTTCCACTGGCAAGATCTCCCTCCTCATCCCAC